TACCAGCATGCTCATTCTAGCTCCACAACTTGGTTTTGAATTGGATTTCTACTGGACCCCAGCATTAAATAGATATATATATATATATATATATATATATATGTACGTCTTTGCTTAGCATTATTAGTATTAACGATCATCTACCTGCACCTTTTAGATCCTTCTTAATGTGATTACAAATCTTTCTGTTTTAGACTCGGAGGTTCTGTATTTAGAGTTTTGGTAGTACAATATCAATTTCTGGAAAGAAAAAATGACTCACCCACATTCCCTACTACAGTTTTAGAACTTAAAACTATTAAATTTGAGTTCACGTGACAAGTTCTGTGCAAACAAATACGCTAATAGAGATTAAAACTGACTAGAATTTTATACACACTACTCCAGGTTTTAAAAATTCACCCAAAAAAAATGTAATATCTGTACATTTTATATTCAGTAATCATTTATATTTATAAGTATATATAATAGTTGAAAGGTAAAAATAATACATTAATATTAAAGGAAAACATAGTATTGAGTTTAAAAACAATAAATATTATGTCTAGTATATTTTAAGAATATATAATTATATATATATATACACACACTAACATTTACCAGAAAGAATCCAGCATTAATCAGGTTTAATAAGAAAATTCTCATAATCATCGCTATACCACATTGTCTGAAGTTATGCTTCAAGGACAATATTTATACAACAAAATGTGCAGACCGGAGCAGATTGTCAGTTCATTACAGAGCTGTGACCACCGGGTAAGAGTGGAAGACTGAACATCCACTAGTACATGACAGAGGAAGTATTTGCTGCTCTTGTCTCACAAAAGAAGTTTGCAAATGAAAACTCTCAGTAACAAAGAATATTACTTGTTCCTCCGAAAAATCAGGTTGACATTTTGTTTACACCTTCAGTTGAGTCAAAACTATTGTCTTCGATTGGAAATGCTGCTTTTAGAGATGCATCCAGAGGTCAAGGAACCATTCTTGTTCCAATCACAGACTACTTCTTTCCATAATCTTCAATGCCAGTCCAGTCGTCAGTTGACAATCTGACTAGCAAGACATCAGGAATCTATTTTTCGCTCCACAATGACTTCTTTCAAATTTTCTGGAGTAGCTTTTACAGTTGAAGGCAAGTCCACAAGCGTACTTGGAGGGGCAAAATACATGTGTAGTGACATCATACAGATTATAATACCCAAAAAAAGCTGCAGGAAGTTCAAGAGATCGTAAATTGTCTATCAAATTTGTCTCAGAGTGATGATATGAATAGTAGGATTTCTAACCACTTGAGAACTTACCTGTAATGTAGGCTTGAAATTGAAAAGAGATACAGATAATACCATAGTCAGCAACATTGCCATTGATGTGGAATAGACCTGAAAGAAGGAAAACATCAGCCGAAAACATTCCCAAGTTTTAACAAATGGAATTAGCATGGAAATGCACTATCTCTGAAGATTCGTAAAAGGAAAAATTTTCCTGAACAAGAGTTTTCAGGTACTTCAAATGGGTTCAAGTTATGATACATATGATATCAACTCCAAGAACAGTATTGTAATATGAAGTTACCTTCACAATGTTATCAGCATACTTCATCAACCACGATACCAACAAGCCAGTGGATCCAAGATTTAAAACAACCATCCAAGTTGTAATGCTATATCCATCGAATAGACGCTGCCACCAAGGTCCCTTCTCAAATCCACCTCGAAAATCATCCAGGAGAAGTCTTGCCATATTGAAGACTGAACCAAACCTGGAAAAAAATTGAAAAACATGCTCTAAATTGCTGATTATGGACATAATTAACAAACAAAGAAGTCATAGAAAATTAGTATAATATAAGCTGCTGCTGAAGAAAGAAAATTTAATCACAAGGAAAATAGCACTAGAAAATCTCCCAAGAAAAATTTGCAAGATTAAGGATGTCAGTGCCCTTCTATTCTGATTCTTCAAAGAAAAGCACTAATAATCACTAGAAAAACAATATTAAAGAAATAATCACAAGAAAAAATAAGAAAAAAGTACTAACATGGAATATCTGTCTGAGGTTCACGACCATGAGCTGCTATTAATACTGATAACAAAGAAAACAAAGAAAGATAAGGACAAGAGGTACCTACGTATATAACTGTACATTCTGCCAGTACAAGCTGTCATTGTTCTTCTTCATCAGATACTCTGTATATACACCAGCTGATGCTGACAGACAAGCAGATAGGACCCCCAACAAATAACCTGGTATAGGTGCCGTGAACAAAGAATCACATGAAGCTTCTCCACAACCTTTAACCTACAATGATGAAGAAAAAAATGAGTGCTACCCCTACCACACAAGTCATAACAATGATTTAAGGAGGGATAAAAAGATTATGTAATTTACCATCTTCAGCACCAATAAAACAATAGAAGAAATAAATTTTGATACATAAGGATTAGCCCTCACACGTACTATCAGTATATGAAATCATTTGGTCGATTAACATAATACAAGGCTAATTGGAGCCAAGACTTCTTTATGACAAGGCAGATAAACAAAATAATGAGGAAATCACATCACTGCTCTCTTCTGCATGACTACTACAACATTATTCTTGGGATTCATCTATTGAATCGGAGAGGAAAAGAGAGAAGGAAGAAATTGTGTATAAAGATATCCCTCATGCCTAGCTTGCAAATAACGCCATATGAATTGCTTACTGCCATGCTCTTTAGTAAAGCCATCAGCTTAGTTCCTCAAAAGTCACATGAAGATATCTAAAATGCCACACTTTTTTTTTCCTTGATAAAGTGCCAATAAATCTTAATGTATTTTGTCCAGTAATCTTGAACTACATTGTACGCAATGTTGATTGCAACCTTGTGGCCACAGTAAAATACTATAGTATTCTCCTCCAACATCTTCAAGCATCAGTTTCTGAAGCCATTGTAATTCACACATACCTTGTGTCATGGTTCTATATTCAGATTCTGTACTTGATATTACCACTAAAATCAATTTCTTAACAAGTAACTAAATTTCCACCTACAGATGTACAATAGCCAGACGTAGATTTCTTATCGTCAGGGAATTCATGCCAGTTTGAATTAGTAAAACCTCTCTATCTTTGGGCAATTATTCTTGAAGAAGGGTAACTCCTTCCTAGAGCAGACTTTAAGTATCTCAAAATGCAATTTACTGCATTTAAACAAGGTTCCCCAGGCTCACACATATTCACTAAGGATGGCAATGGAACGGGTATGGGTTGGACTTACTAAGTCCAAATCCAACCCGCCCCTACAAAGAGAAAACTCAAACTCATCTTGAACCTGAGAGGAGTTTAATTTTTTTTTTCTATTTTTCAGACTATGTTGGGTTTGCAGGTTATCCAATCCAAACCTAACCCAATCATTTTATTGTATTAACATAGATATGATTATATCTATATTAAAATAATTAGAAAGATATTATTACTATATATATTATATACTAATATATTCATCAATATATGTATAGTGAGTTGGATTCAGACAGGAGTTAGAAGTTCAAACGTCTCTCTTTTCCCACCAACCTGAACTCACACTTTAATGAAAAAAACTACATCAAATTGAGTTCATATAGGTCGTATTATGCAGGTTCATTTATAAAATATCATCCCTAATATTCATTCATCACATTTTTGTATAGGCTATTCTCATGCCTAGTATGTGAATGATAGATCAATATTCCCAACTAGTCTCTGGTACTTGCCAATCTCAATTGGTTTACCAACTCCACCTTGTAATTTATGATTTTCCTCAATTCGGGACTCTACGAGCTAGCATGCTAGTTTATTCAAGGACATCCGAAATGCATTTGCATGAAAAATGAAAATTCTTTTTTTAGATATAGCAACCTCGATACCAAGGAAATAACAAAGCCTCGCAAATCCTTGAATTTGGACTCCTAAGCTAAGGACTTTAATATCCTTTGTATAGTAATCTTAATAGTCTGATGTTTAAAGAATATGGTATGATCGACACTATCTGACAGTACCCAAAGGAGTTTTTAACATTGCTAAATTTGGAAAACCATGCCGACATTACCTTGACGGTACCCAAAGGAGTTTATACCATTGCTAAATTTGGAAAACCATGCCCAAAGAAATTGTTCCAATCCATATATGTGTCTGTAACATCTCAAATCTCAATGTCGGTGGGTACAAATGTTAATATAATATTTCTAACTAGTAGAACAAATAAATATTAAATATGCAGCAGAACTACACTTTAATACATATATTTTGTGACAGAATAATTATTCGTTTATAAATAATTGAGGTATTTAAATTAATTTACAATATTAAAATAAAAACTAATAAA